CTTTACAACATCTATCTGTCCCTTCCTCTCCATTCTCACTACTAACAATGTAATTAAATGAATGAATGAGATCCATTTTTAGACAGTTAAGACATAGCCAAGAACCCTTGCTAAGTGTGTGCTAGGGTTTGGAATATAAAAGCAGAGACAATCTCTCCCCTCAAGAAGCTTAGTTTTAAAGGCACAGAGAATACATGAGAAAAGTGATAGCCAGGGAAGGGTGTTTTTGATCAATGAAGTCATAGGGATGTTAAATGGAATAACAGGACTATTGACAGACACTTAATATAATTCCCAGAGGAATAGTGGAGGGTGGGGACAAAGGGTACAGGCAGAAAATAACTGGGGGAAAGATGGGTTTTAGGGAGTAGAGAGACCAGAGGCTTAGCTCATCCCAGGCACAGTCTATGAGAAACTAATCAGGAGATCACTGCATTAGTCCAGAGAAATTGGACCACCATAGACTATCCCACCCTCATGAGTGATTTTTCGCTCCTTGAATCCTTTCTGCCACTGTGTTTAACCTTTTATTAAAACAATTTTTAATTGCTGTTTTCTCTATCTTATATCACCATAGAATTCCATAGTATTTACCTGCCGCTGCCACCCCCTCTCCCCACCTTGAGAGCCATATGGATGTTTATTTTTGCTTTGTTTGATAGCATGATAGCAATTCCCGCTTTTCTGGATTCACTTGAAGCATAGTCATTATTTTTCCATCCCTTCAGTTTTATTTTGTGTATGTCTTTTTTTTTTAATTTGTTTCTTGTAAGCAACAGACTGTAGGACATTTTTCAATACAATCTATCATTCTTTTTCATTTTATTGAATTGTTTAATTCACTCACATTTAAAGATATAAGAGGTTTATATTTTCCTCCATCTATATCTAAAATTGTATTTTTAACTTGTGGTTTTCCCTTCTTCTGCTATAAACACAGGATTGTGTTCCTTTAGTTACTTTAATCTTTTTCTAAAAGGTGGCCCTGTTACAACTGGCTCTCTTCCTCTTATCCCCAATCCCCTCTTCTCATTTGTTACTCTTTTCCTTTAGGGTTTTGTTTATTAGTTCCTCTTTCCTGCTTTTAACTTGTTATATATTTCTTCCTCCCTCCTTTTTTTCTTCCCAGTCAGGTAGATTTCTCCTTCCTCTCTTTCCCTTCAGCTAGTCTTTTACATTAGTTTTTTTTTTATTATTTAATTTTTGTGCCCCCTTCAAAAAGGGTTTCTTTCACTTGCTTCATCTTCTTTTTCTGTTTACTTTAGATCTTCATTCTCTGATTCTTGACCTCCATACTCATCTGTTCTCTTTCCTTTCTCTGTATCCTTCACATAATCAAAGTTTCCAAG